GGTTTATTTGCTTTCATGGATAGTGATCCTCGCAGTTTTCCTTATAGTAAAGGTAAACCTCACAATTGGCTTCTATTAGAAATTATGTCCATATTTAAGATGCCTTTAGGGAGAACATATCTGCCTTTTCTTTCCTCTTCGTTTTTGCTTTTAAAAATCTGGTTTGTTGTTAGGGAGCTGATTTTCCCACTCCTCTTTTGTCCACTTACACTCCCTTTGCTAGAAATTGTGTGCTCCCACTCGTTTTTTGTCCATGTACACTCTTTTTTTTTTTTTTGGGTTATAGTAAAAACTATTAAAAAAACAAAAGGGAGTGTAAGTGGACAAAAAGGGAGTGGGAAAATCATCACCCTATTGTTAATATGGTCTGGATTTTGGAAGGTATTTTCCTTTGAGATTACTCAACTTATCTACTTGGCTTCACTCACATGAACTCGCCATCCTTTGCAGGCAGTGAACCTTGGAAGGCAACAGTTCAGTGCTAGATATCACCTAGTGTTTAGGCTATTTAAAGCATTCCTCTTCTTGGGTGTTCTTTCTGTCATACTTGCTCTCTATTTCGTATGTAAACTATCCTGGAAGGACATACTTGTCTGCTCTCTAGCATTTTTCCCAACAGGGTGGGGTTTGATATTGGTAAGTTTATGACAACAGAGATCTTTTTTCTTTCAGGCTGCATTTTTTTCCTGCTTATTCTTTCACTGATAACTTTGTTGGTTCAGTTTGCACAAGCTGTGAGGCCCCTGATAGAGAATACTGGATTGTGGGAATTCACCAGAGTACTTGCTAAAACATACGATTACGGAATGGGAGTTGCTCTCTTTGCACCTATTGCTGTCTTTTCCTGGCTTCCGATTTTATCAGCATTCCAGACTCGTTTCCTGTTCAATGAGGCCTTCAATAGGCACTTACAAATCCAACCAATTCTTGCAGGGAAGAAGAAGAAGAACAGATGATTTTATTGGCCCTGAATGATTCTTAGTATATATTCTGTACAGTCAAATTATATTGACAAATCTTTATAGGTTTTGGAATTGTTATACATATGCAGCAGATATCAGTAGATCATGCAATCACCGGCATAAAAGATATAGTTTCTTTTGTTAAGAAAAGAAAGATAATAGGGTCCATTGAGACAATGTTGTATATCTAATATTGAAATCAATAAAATTATTGGTGACAGATTCAGAAGAGTTGGGAGTCTTTTTCTAGTTTTACAGCAAACTTGTTTATCAATATTAATACCAATATATATGGCACATGACAACCTATGTGGATCGATTCCTTTGACCTATCCTAATCTAACCCATTTCCCCAACTTCCCTCACCACGTGAGCTAACCCGCATGAAGCTTTCTTGAATGCAACACGTTTTTAATTCCTTCATTCTCCATCACCATAACCTCAGACAACCGAAAACCCCAACCGACACAACAGCACGACTCTCTCCAACAAGCCCCATGAGTATTTTACCCACCTGAACAGTCATGCCCTCCAATAAAACTTTTAGACCTAGGCCAAAGAAGTTGGAAGATTTCACACTGTAATTAGTCTTAACATTTTAGAAAGAACATGATTTCACGATCTACAAAAACACTTAAAAATCCAATCTTTTTTCGCTTAACTCATTCCACCACCATCAAAAACCCATCTTTCTCCACACTCCCATCATCTTCCTCATCTGATATCCCAAAAAGGCTGCACCACAAAGACTGGTTAGCCCCAAATGAAGTCTTGGAAGTCTTCACATCCCTCAGAGACCCCAACTCTGTCCGCACAGCCTTGGACCACTACTCCAAGCGCAAAGACTACAAACCCAATGAAGCTCTTTACACTTTGGTCGTCAACAAGCTTGCCCAAGCCCGCCTCTTCGACGCCATTGACAATGTCATGGCCAGGATCAAATCCGAAAGCAAATGCCGTTTGTCTGACAACTTCTTTCGCACTGTTATTAAGGCTTATGGCAATGTGGGTGGTCTTATAAGCAAGGCCATCGAGACCCTTTATGATATGCCCAACTATGGTTGCTGGCCTTCTGTGAAAACATTCAACTTTGTGCTGCATTTGCTCGTTTCGACCAAGATGTTTGATGTTGTTCATGAGGTGTACTTGGAGGCTCCCAAGCTGGGTATTGAGATTGATGCTTGTTGCCTTAATATACTCATCAAGGGACTATGCGAGTATGGGAAATTGGATGCTGCACTTAAGGTGCTCGATGAATTTCCTAAGCAAAGATGTATGCCAAATGCGCTAACTTTTTCAACACTTATGCATGGTTTGTGTGTCAATGGGAAGGTGGATGAAGCTTTTGGGATGTTAAAGAGGATGGAAAATGAGGGGATCGATCCGGATGCCATCACGTTTAATATATTGATAGCGGGGCTCAGGAAACAGGGGAGATCTGAAGAGGGGATTAAGCTTTTGGAGGAAATGAGGGGCAAGGGGTGTGATCCAAATGCAGGGTCTTATCAGGAGGTTTTGTATTGTTTTCTTGATGCACAGAGGTTTGTTGAGGCCAAAGAGTTTATGAGTTGGATGATCTCTAAGGGCATTGGCCCGAGTTTTGTATCGTACAAGGCGTTGATTCATGGACTGTGCAAAGAAAATCTGGTGCAGGATGTGGATTGGGTTTTAAAGCAGATGATAAGACAAGGCTTTCTTCCGAAGATGGGGATGTGGAGGCAGATCCTCAAAAGCATGTTTTCAGAGAAGAGCAGCCATTGTTGTATTTCCTATGAAGAAATTGTAGATAATTAAATCACATAAAGTGGATGACTGTGTGGTGACGTTGCTTATGGGTTCTTCAAACGATTTTGAAGTCATGTAAATTGAAAATCACTTTGCTATCAGTCCTGCTTGAGAGTCAAAATTACGGTATGGAAAAGGCTGAAGAGTGTTTCATCTCATAACATATTGAAATTTAAGGAAATAGGTTCAGAATTATTGTCCTTTAATGTCACAGAAATGAATTATGAATGTTAATACTTTCTGGGAAATGAGTTGGAACTACAGATTTCCTTGCTTCCAGTAGCAAAGACATGGTTGCAAGGTTGCTTCATTATCGCTTCAGCTGATGGGGATCAACTTGAGGATATCCTTTGGCTTGATGAGAGCATGTAAATTAGACTTGTTAATGGCTTCTTTTCTAATGTTATTAGATTGCTTAAACCCTATTTTAGGTGTCCGTTTTCTCTCTTCCACTCTGAGCTGCTTCTTTTGCAGCAGTGCTATATTGTTCGGAGATGTGTTTGCTGTCCTGTTTTGTGGTATGCTTTGTTTTATTTTGTCTAATCCTACTGGCAACTACAAAAAGATCATCATTGTTCTTGGTTCATCACCATCTCAAAAATGAAACTATATACTTTTGCATGTTCAATAATGAAGAATTTTCCATACAAGATTTTCCTTCTTTACAGAAAAAACAAAACAAACCAATGTTGCGAATAATTTCATAGCATTTCCAAATCAACATAACAAAACTAGGAATGCTAAAAGATTGACAGGACAAGCATATGAAGGTCTAGGTCTGTAGAGTGTCAAAAAGCCAAATCCCCTCCACCCAAAAAGAATTTTGATAAAAACAGTCCTCCAATATGACCCTGATCCGGTATCTTGAAATTTTTCCACAGTTTCACCTTCACGGTTTTTCTTTCTTGGGTATAGAGGCATCACTCCATGCTGCTGTTTTTCTTCATCGGATATGATAGAATGTACACCAAAAGAAGCATTGGTGAAATAGAACAGAATCAACCTCACAAAAGGCAAGGGAAGGCTACCTATGAAAACAAATGGGAATCTCTTACAGCTTGCAACAGTACCTTGTCAACTGCACAATTAGCAAGTCCAAAATTACAGAGCTAAGAAAGGACGAGAATGCGACAAGCAACAGTGCTACAACAGTGCTTAAGAACCAGAGGTGACGCATGCTCCTTTGAGTTAAATTAATCATTGCTTGAGCCACAATGTATTTCCAATCAGAAAGATTTCAATACAACCTTCTTCTTTTGGCCTTCAGCATCTACTGCAGTTTCTCTTAGAACAATTTGTTTGGGAAGAGGATCATCATCAGAGGAGTTAAAATCTTCTAAAAATTTTCCTTCCTTGACTGCAGAAGAACCAGTTTGAGACTTTCCAGAATCTTTCCCTGTAGAATGCTTTATGTTCCGAGTAGATTTTTCACCATGCTTACTAGAAAGAGGTCCAGAAAGGTCGTCTTCCACAATAAATTTTACCCCAATCTCCTTCTCATGAACTGCCCTAAGATTAATATGTGCAGAACGAACAGACTCTTTAAAGCTATCTGAACTTAAGTCCTTTTTGGAATTCCTGTGGAACACTGAACAGATCCTATTTAGACCCTTGCAAACTGATTTCATTCGCCGTTTCTCCCCAGGATTTCTATCTGTGCCACTGTCATCATTATTTTGGGTTGCAGATATGACTGAATTATAGCTGCCGGCATTATTTTGAATCTCGTTACCAAGGAGTCGGCTCTTTCCTTTTCTACTCTCCCAAGTTTGTGAAACTTCACTTCCTGGGTGATGGACCCATATACCAGTCTCTTTTTGGCCTTCAACATCAATTGGCTCAAAATTGTCTGCCACCCTATGGGACTTCTCTGATGATGCAGATGAGAAGCTACTCTTATTAGCATCACTGGCAAAGGAATTTCTTTTATCTTCCACATCTACCTTTTCCTGGACAACTGGATGATCATCCCCCTAAATATGTAAGTGGCTCAAGTCAACTCTTGAATGCACACTTGAGCATCTGTGGAAAGCATTGCCTATACCGCAACTAGAACTACGAATCTATTTGCTTTCATTTCGTAATGAGTAAACCACAGTTGAGAGAGAGTAAAAAGGTACCTTCACATTGTCTTCAATAACAGTTACTGCAAGATGTAGCCTCCCTGTTTTAATGTTCTCAAGAGGCAACCACATGTCATGTCTCTGGCCATCCCTAAGATCAGCAATGTTAATGAAGCATTCACTGGATATAGAATAAGAGGTAAGTTAGTCCTGCAATTAAAACAGCACTTACAGAACAGTTCAATAGGATATTAAGGGCCAAAAAGTTAATAAACAAAACTCAAAGTAAGCAGACACCAGAAACAAAAATACTAACATTGGTTGACAAGATAATCAGAGATTCAAAAAAAAAAAAAAAAAAAAAAAACATGGAAAATTTTGTAATAGCAGCAAGGTCAGCAACTAAAATTACAAAGTCATTCATTTCGTGTTGTGTGACAATTTATCAATTAATAAATATAACAGTACTTTGTCCAAGGATTAAAATCAACCTAGCACACAAAAAAGCATAATACATTCAAAAGTTCAGAAACAAACCCAAGGGCATCATCAACAAATCGGTCCTTGTCACGAACTTCAATAGCCAGTATATTAGGTGACTCCCATGTAATAATGGGGATCTTAAATTCCTCGCGCCATTTTGGAGCCAGCGTTTTCTTTTGTATCTTAGTCCTGAACCGATAAAGGCCTAATTGACCCTTCACATATGGGTCAGAGAATCCTGACAGAATAGGTCTATTCATTAAATATAAAATTTTAAACAGACTATGATGTGAGTACCAGCAAACAAAGAAAAGAACAAACCATTTAGATCAGAAGCTTTCATATCAGATGCTTCAATAACCTCTACTTTGGCGTGAGCAAGAGGCTCCTTCTCATTCACAGAGAACCAACTTTCTGTCAATCAAATGAACACTATTATTAATTCAAACATTTGGGAAACACATTTTCTGTGAGAGACAGAGACAGAGTATGATGATTACAGAAGTTAAAATGAACAACTGTAGTAAGGAATTAGAGGAGCTTTTATCAAGAGACTAGATGAAAGGGAAGTAGAAGGTAACAATAATCTCCTTACATCACATGACATTTGTCATTCCAAAAGGAAGATATTCTGCATACAATTCGAAGTTTTAAAAACCAATTATTACTGCTGTGGTATTTAAGCTGCTCAAAGGGAAAAAGGGAAAAAGAACCTTAGTTCTTAAAATGCAAAACTAACTACTTTAGAGTGACAAAGCTACTACGCCAAAATAATAAACTTCCCCAGCGATGGTTGAGGTGTTGAAACTTGAAAGCACTACAATTTAGGCCCAACAGGTTAAAGTTTGTTCTTCATGAAAAACTAATGTGAGGAAAGATTTATACAAGGTTCTAATCAAAATACATAAATACATGCATGTTTCCATATGTATAATATATCCATAATTACCTGACTTCGGTGAAACGAATTTCTCCATGTCAACAACCAGCATATTAGGCTGCAAAGATAATGAAAAATTAGATTTACAATACTCTAACAAAAGTGTTGCCAACATATGAAAGACTGTTTACAGCATAGCCCATTGGATATCAGAGAATTACATAAAGGAGGGTCAAAGTCCAACATCCATACCTCAACAAGTGTCTGCTCAAAGGCAATGGAAAGAAGCTTCTCCTGGGAAATAGAATAAAGAAAAGAGCAAATCAGAGAGACACACAGAATCAGAGAGGGAGAAATCAAGGGAGTTCAAATTTATCAGCGTCAATAAAAGATACCAGCCATCCAGCAATCCCTGGGAGTACTGTAACATCAAGGCCATGAGTAAAAATAGGCTTCACAGTCATTTGAAAATATGGAGGCTCAACAAAGCATAACCGCACACGGCCAAGGAAAGGCCACCCGCGAAGAAACTTCACTCCAATCAAGACCTACAAAAGAAAAAGAAAAACACAGCTTGTTCAGAACATACAAGTCATTTTTGCAAGCCATTCCAGACATTCTATTTTCCATAAAATGTTTTCACTATTGTTTAAACACTCGGACATCTTCTAACATATATATCTTACATATTTCCAGATTACAGGTAGTTACACTACCTAATCAGAACTCAGGGGTTGCAACGATCAATCAAAAATTTAGTTTATATGGAGGCACCGTATAAAGAACATTATGCATATCTTCAATCTATATTTCATGCTTAGCAAAAGATTACTTGCATGAGATATTGCCTGGCCCAACTCACTCAAATTTCAAATGACTTGAGATCACATCTTAACCTACATTTAGTCAAAGTCCATACCTTCCCTTCAATATGCATGCCTGTAATATGCAACTTTGCCCACATCCCAAAACCCAGTCTTTTCCTCAACTTCACGGCAAGTATTGCAATCATATCATCAGCTGTCAGAAAATTCAATCCCAACTCCAGAACCTGCATTTATTTACAATGTAGTACTTTCGTTTACCTGATTCTAGAAATGCAGCTGAGAAGAGCACATAAAAATGATTGATCCAAAATTTCCCGAGAAAGTAAAGAATACCAGGTGGTCATCATCAGTAGACTGGCGAACCACTCTCATGTCTGTGAGCATTGGTGCATTTCTTCCCAAGTAAAGGTGCTGAACTACTGCTTGCTTCTGCAAACATATATTCACCATTAATAACTCAAAATGTGTATCAAAATATAACCACCAGATATCAAGTATAAGTAGTTTCCCACACATACATGCAGCTGAAATGAACCATCTACTCGGGAGAATGATCAAAATGACACTACGGTATACACACAAAAAAGAAAAACCTCTAGTCTACAATCCAAACCTAGTCATACTTATATCAAAAATTTTGAATGCTCATATGAGATGCGGATGCAACATAAACAGTTTTTGCCACTTACATAGTAATTAAAATACAAAAATATAAAGATCACTCAACTAAGAGCTAACAAAGCATTACATTCATTGATGGTTCAAGATCACTCAACAATATCGTTCAATCACAATACATATAAGCTAATAAGGTAACCACCATACCAGAAAATACAACAATGCAAACATAAAAAACGAAAGGTGGTTCCCACTTCAATAACAATCAAAATTAAAGATGATTAGCTCTGGATGTTCACATGCCAAAAGTTAAGAAGTAAAGCTTTAAAGATCATTCAGCTAAAATTTGCACCAAAAGAGTACATCAATTTGAAATAAATACACAATATAAAAAAAAAATCCAAGAGTCTTCAGAATAGAGCACTTTGCACCAAGTCATTATCCAAATGAACAGAACGATCAAAACCATTGTATTGGATTTAAATAAGTTAGAAGTTAAAGTCATACGGCAGTCCATGGTTTGTACTTCTCCAAAAACCAAGGTATGATGGGGAGAAGAATCTTCTGTGAAGCAATCTGTTCCATACATATAGGCCATATCTTTTCAATTGCGTGGTTCAACCACCGCAGTGTTTCAGAATCAGAAAGTACCTAAAGTATTGGAAAAAGAAATTCAAGTTAAATAAAGTATTGTAGTGCCATGCAAATTCACTAATAAATTCTAAAAACCCTCGCCTTATTTTCACATAAGTAACAATGAATACTAACCAACAAAAAGTCACAAATATAGATGCTCAAATTAAGGCTTCAATTTCAGTCATATCCAAGAACATTTCTGGGAATGGCTATAAAGATTCAACATAGACTCTTTTACTCGAAGTTCCCTCCCACCTGGAGGACTAATAAATGAAAAATATTAACGACAACCAGACACACAATAGAAAAAGTGAAGATTACCCGTTTCTGATTAGCCTGTTTCCGTTCCTCAAATTGTAGTTTCTTCCGCAATCTCATAACATACTCGTCGTGAACCTTTCAAAAGTAGAGAAAAGTTCATATTAAGGACTGTAATTGCACATCCCTTTCAGCAACTTACCAAATTAAATTACATATCGTAAATGATCACATCCCTTAATTAGCAACTTACCAAATTAAATCAACAAGCAAAATCCCATACTCTCTAAGCAGACAAATCTAGCAAACTATAATGTACATGATTCTAATTCCCTACCTAAAGAAAAAGGCTTAATTACTTTCAAGATGTAGTCTTCAAGAGCAAATTTTGATGAAAACAAAAATGTAAGAGAAGTGATCCTTACCAGGTAGAGATAAATCAGAGAGGCAAAGTAGGCAACTGGGTGGCAGCAATTGAAGTGAGAAAGCAACCAAAGCACAGATAACACAATCCCCACATGGTGTATTATTGAAACCTCTGTTATGTCCATATCTTCTTCTTCAATCCAAAAGGCACCACTTTGCAGTTTATCTTTTCTGCTGGGTTCTCTAATTTACACTTCACAATAACACCTAACCCCCCTCATCCCCCCACAGAAACATAAAGAACCAAACTTTCTTCCAATGGCTTAAGAAAAAAGTCACAGATTAAGAGAATTTAGAAAAAGGAAAATCCCAATATTGAAACTTGAACTGAAGAAATCATCAAACGCCATAAATGAACCAAACCCGGAAAAGGAAAATCAACAATGAGACATTCACACCCTTCAAATATTTAACAAGAAAACAGAGAAGGTTAACCAAATCAAAGAAAACCCAGAAAGACAAAATCGGGAAAGCAAAAAAAGAGAGAGATAGAAACCAATGTGCAAAAAGGGAAGCAACCCTTTCAGACTGTGATTACTTTTCCTTCCAACCCCTGAAACGGTGTCGTAGGGGTGACCGTTAAAGTAACCGGAGGGAAGTAACGCAAAAGAGAAGTGAGAGAGAATCACAGAAAGGTGATGAGACAACACGAAGCCCAGATGATATGAACGAACATGAAACGTTGGGACATGCCATGAAGAGCGTTTGCGTTTTTTAAGCAGTTGGCACTTTTAAACTCTTTTTTAGGCGCCACGTGTAGAAGACCCGCCAAGTACGCGTGTAAATAACAAAAAGAGAGAAAAAACAAAGTTTACGAGGTAATTTCTCTATGTTTGTCTTTCTATTTTTGTATACAAATTGGCATGCCATGAGGATTTTCTAATATGATATCCCGTGAATTTTTGTGGGTTTGTTTTTTTTATTCCATCGAGTTCAACCCAACCGAAAATTGTCCATTACATGGATTTGGATTGTTGGAATATAAATTTTGGAGAAAGCCTAGATGCTCTACCTTGGCCGGATTGAAGAAGCTATTGGTCACCTCCATTAAGCCTAAATTACCTCCATCAACATCCATCAAGCCATGACTTTTTCCATTGATTAGAAGTTATGTTTATTTCTTTTAGGGAAATTTGCATAAATACCATGTGAACCTTTAGGCATGTGTGTCATTACTACCTGAATTTTGTAAAGTGTTGCAATTCACCACCTATGTTTAACTTCGTTAAAATTTTTATTTAGTTTATGCGCATTTTCGTCAAGAGTAATGCTATTTGGACACACAAGATTGACCATATTAGCTGACCACCTTATATAGCAGTTGATGTGTATATGTCACGTCACTTAAATGTGGCCAACTGTGTTTTTATTTTTTCCTTTTTAAATTGCATAATTTATATTTTTCAACTTTTCTTCTTCTTCGTTGTATCCCTTTGGCTGCCTTCTCCTTCCCCTTTGGCCTTTGCTCATCCTCCTGCAATCTCTCTCCAAAAAGAAAACCAATTCTTTGATTCAACAAACTCAACTCTGCAAATCAACTAATCAAGAAAATCCAACTCAAAAATCTTAATGCCTATTTCACTAGCTATCTAGAAAATCCGAATTGATTTTGAGATCTCATATTCTCTGGTCATGTATATAAGAATTAAAAAGAATTTTAAAGCTTTAGTATGTTGTTAGGAATGGAGTATTAGCTTTCCAATCAAATGGGCGGTCTGGTGAACAATCGAAGTCGAACAATTCCCAAAATATGAACTATTTTTATTTTAAATATGAATGTTCTTCCAAGATGGATTGATGTGATATGTCAGGTTTCTCGCGCGGCTTGGCGATGTTACTGGGTAAGGGTAGATTTGATGGAGGAAGGGAGTGTTGAGTAGAGAACGAAGCTGCAGCCTGCTACAGCATACAGATGCTAGGGTTAATTAATAATTAATTATAATTTTGTTGTTTTTAAGGATTATTATAAAAAAAAGTAAATAAAAATAAAATCTACATGGCAGTATTCATTAATTGACATGGCATGACCACATCAGCTGCCACATAAGGTGGTCAGCTAATGTGGTCAATTTTGTGTGTCCAAATAGCATTACTCTTTCGTCAATTAACTGCTATAACTAAGAATAATTATTTTTTTTTTTAAACATAATTTAAATATATAAATAAACCTAATTACAACGCCTTCCCCCTACCACTACTACTTTTCCAACCCTACTCTATATTCATCTTTGTCCCTTGGAATCTCTTGTGTGGGTTGTTGAAATTGAATAGCAAATTGAAGACTGAAGTGAGTGATATGGACAATAACTTCATATACGCTGGGGACCCAATTAGGTTACTACATAATATGTTTTGTTTAAATTTCTTACTTTTTAAGTACAAGTGATGGTCTAAACTAGAAGTGGAGGGTTTAAATTTGTTCATTAATGAATGAATATTGAAATTATCATTTTCTTCCAATTATCTTTCTAGCACGTGGTGCTTTGATTCTTAATTTAGTTTGAGTTGTGCCTTTGTTTCTCATTAACAATTTTTACTTCGGTTAATTATGCTAATTTCACAATTTAGGTCACTGCCGACTTGGGACTCTGCCATTTCTGTCCATGTATACTCTTTACCTTGTTTTTTCTACTATTTAGGTTGAAAAATAATAAGGGGCATCAAAAGCTCCTCTCCCTAAGGTGGTAGGAGAAATTCATGTGCAGCTATGCCCAAGCACTGCTGGTTCCTCTTGCCATTGAGAGTTTTTTTCAGTGATTCGCCTGAAGAGCTCGTTGAGACGAGTTTAGCCGTGCGGCTATAATCTACAAATAGAATATTTCAATAGTATCGCCGCGCGGCTATACTCTATAAATAGAAAATTTCAATAGTCTAGCCGCGCGGCTAGACTCTATAAATAGAAAATTTTCAAACGTACTTCCGCACGGCTGTAAATAGAAATCCCAAAGGTATAGCCGGACGGCTCTACTAGTTAAATAGAATTTTTCCAACAGTACGAATATTTCAACTGTATAGCCGCACGGCTAGACTGTGTAAATTGAATATTTCAACAGTACATCCGCCCGGCTATACACTATAAATATCATAATTTGGTTTTCTCTTTTTAATTGCTTTAATTAGTAGTTATGTTTTAATTATTATTTACCTAGTAGTTAAATATTTTATTAAAGAAAAAATTTTAAAAATTAATTACTATTTATTAAGAAATATAATTTGCGAAGTTAATTAAAATATTGAATCCTAATTATTCACTAAAAAATATTAATTAAAACATAATAACTAATGAAAGTAATTAAAAAGAGAATAGAATATTTCAAACATATAGCCGCCCGGCTATATCCTACAAATAGAATATTTCAACAGTATAGCCCACCGGCCATACTCTAAATAGAAAAATTCCGTAAGGCTCTGCGTGAACAGAAATTTCAACTGTATAGCCGGCTATACTCTCTAAATGGAATATTTCAAAAGTATAGCCGCACGGATATACATCTTGCTACCACGCGACATTCATATACAGGGCTCGTGCTGATGAGTTTAATACAATTTAAGGAGTCTTCTCCTCTTCAAAAAAGCTTATGATGGCTTATGACTCCTTCAGCCCATTATTAAATTTGGAATTTAATAACAAAACAATTCCTTCGTGTTTATAAAACAACATTTTCAACTCAAAACTTTACATATTTCCCAACATAATTACAAATAATACAGCCTAATAAATGAAACAAATAATACAGCCTAATAATAGCTGCACCACATTTCGCCCCAACTGTGTAGAGAAGTTTCTTTTCAGGGTGGAAAAGAGGTAGAAATATAATGTTGCAGATTCACCAAACCCTAAAACCAAAGTATCTGTTTGGGGTGAGTGTTTCATACAAGAACTGTACAACATCATCAACATGTGACTTGGACATGCAAGCCATACTCTCAAACTTCAAATACTTCATGCTAATTCAGCCACAAGTGGAATAGTATGAGCTCTCTTTCATAACAGTCTGCGATAGTTTTGCATGCCTTTCTCTTCAGATATGCATCAGCTAGCTTCAACTTTTAACGGCTCATGCAATCCTTCGCCATTTCTTCCAGGGCTGTCCACCTCCTCGTGCACCTTTTCGACTTCTTCAACCTTCTCCTTTGGGCGTTCGAGTTCTTCAAGTTCAACCTTCTCTGTTGGGTGCACGAGTTCTTCATGTTCAACCTTCTCTGTTGGGCCTTCAGCGTCCACTGCCGTGACAATTACCGGCTGAACCACATCCTCCTCTGGTTTACTTGAATCATTGACGGAGCCACAAGGTATATCCCTGGAGGGGACAGGTATCATTTCAACAAATGGGGGGGAAGGAAGAGATTCGTCATCAGAAGAGTTGGAACCTGCTAAAATTTCTCTTTCACTCACTGCACATGAATCAGCTTGAGACTTTCTAGAACTTTTCTTTGAAAGTGCACGCTTTACGGATTTTTCGGCATTTCTAAAGAAACTCTTCACCTTACCCTTTCCTGGGCTATCTGAACCACTCTCTCCAGAACTTAAAGCCCCTTCTTTTGAAACCTTACCAGAAGGAGGGACCGATACGTTGTCTTCCACAACAAACTTTACACCAGCCTCCTTTTCATTAATTGCCCTTAGATTAACACGAGGGGTTTGAACAGCCTCTGTAAAGCTGCTTGAATTATCCTCCTTGGAATGCCTATGGAATATCTTATGCAGACCCCGGCGAAATGATGCCATTGGATGTCTATCCTCAGGATTCTCATCAGTATTTCTGCCATCATTTACTTGGGTTCCAGATGTCACTGAACTACGACCGTCAGTACCATTAGCCTCCCCTTGAATCCGGGTATTAAGTCTTCGACTCTTTCCTTTTCTAGTCTCCCAAGTTTGTGAAACTTCACTTCCTGGATGATGGACCCATATACCCGTTTCCTTTTGCCCTTCTATATCAATAGGCTCAAAATGATCTGCCACTCTAGGAGATTTCTCTGATGATACAGATGAGAAGGAACTTTTATTAGCAGTCTCATTGGCAAAGGAATTTCTTTTATCTTCCACATCTAGCATTTCCTGAACATCTGGACAATCATCCCCCTGTGTATGAAAGAAGCTCAAGTCAAACTCTCGAGTGCACACTTGAGCATCCTGTGGAAGCACTGCATTCTAATTTATGAAGCAACTAGAACTATCGATCTCTTCGCTTTCATTTCCTAATGGGCCTAATCAGTAGAACTAGTCGATAAGAAGTGAAAAGGTACCTTCCCATTATCTTCTACTACAGTTACTGCAATATGCAGCCTCCCTGCTGTTTTAATGTTTTGAA